TCTGCAATGTATTTAAACCATATTTTTGTTTGAGGTAAATTTAGCAGCACTGCTATAAAGACTTATTTCTGAGCTGGCAAAATCATTAATTCTGAAAGTAATAATTTTGTACTTAATGCATTGCCCCAGGTACTACCCAAAGACAAAGCACAAGAAACATAACTTACCTGGGTTACAGCATTTATGAACAGTTTGACAACTATCCAGCAATGACGCAGCAGGAGCGGGATCACTGTTCTTGCTATAATAACCATTTAAACTTGGAGAGCCTTGCTGGAGACACTCTTCACATCTTTAGTTTGGAACCACCACAGCTGGCTGGGGTGAAAGTCACCATGGCCACATACCCATTTCCTCCTTTCTTGAGAGGCTGATTTGCAGTTTTAATTGGTTTGCAGTTGTGGTTTACAGAGAACGAGCCCTCTCTTCAAAAACTGTCGGTATTCGACACTCATTGTATAAACCATCCTAAGGCTGTTAGGAAAAAACACCGTTTTATGGCAAGCTAGTGGCAAAGAAAAAATGTCATATATCTATACTGAGTAAAAGTTACGAATGTCACAGTCCCCAAAATGATCCAGCTCTATACTTAATATGTCGAAACTGGAGGAATAATGCTTCAAATGTGCAGCAGCACCAGAAACTGGCCGGGGGCCTGTGGGAGCAGAGTCGTCTTTGTTGAACAAAAGTTGGAATACAAGCGTTTCATGAGGAGAATGAAAATTAAATTCTTTCATGGGAACAAAAGAGATGAGATTATGGCAGCGTAAATTAACCAAAATATAAGTACAGAAAAGTCTTTCCACTCTCAAGATTGTACTTCTGTGTAAGAGAAATTCTAGGAGTGTAGTGTAAACAGATGTTAGATGTCTGGAAATTGATAGATTGTATCTTGAATTGTTCACCCTAGACGTAAGGACGCTAAACTGCAAAGACAGAGGAGGATGTCTGACAGACACTACTTGAGATATGAATATTGCTAAGTACTGAAATGTTGCTACTTTTCCTTTTGGAATAGGTCTTATTATTGATGCTTTTGGCGAATTAAGAGACCAGCAAGAACAAGTGAGAGAAGATATGGAGGTATGAGTCAGCACACCACATTTTTCATTACTCTTATTCATCTACATTGTCACCAGTTAAAACAGTGTCTTTGAGTTAAAATCCATTTGTAACCACAACTTGTGTTTCTAGACCAAATGTTTTATTTGTGGAATCGGCAATGACTATTTTGACACAACCCCTCATGGCTTTGAAACACATACTTTGCAAGAACACAACTTGGCAAACTATCTGTAAGTATATTTTACTACTGGAATTACAATAAAGAGGCCTTTCAGCTCCAGAGTAATGTAGGTGCACACACTGCTGACAATCCTAAGACAGAATTCTGTAGAACTGAGGAATATCTCCATTCCTTTCTGCTCTCTCCTCCTGTGCTCCACACTGCTGGTTATCTTTAAAGTGCTCACCTTACACACGAGCTACCTCAGTGGAATGAGACCTGAAGGCATGCCAGCTCCTTATTGCTCTGGAAGGAAACTCGGATATGTGGAATGACAGGGAACAACAGTTTAATAAGTTGCTGTAGTTTGGAAGTTTTGATTGTGACTGCTGGGGGCTTGGTAATGTTGGTAACATTGAAAATTAGCCTCACTTTGACAAAAAGAAAACCCAAAACAAAACAAAACAGCATTTCTGGAAGATTCCTGAAAGATAAGCTACAAAAAATAATGTACAAGTCTGATCCTGTAGTTCTTTAGTGACAGAGCAGCTTTCCAAAACCTCGAAGCAATCGGGAGTTGTAGGTGTTTAGACTATTGCCCAGACTCCCAAGACAGTGCTCTTCTACTTTCATTAGTAAATACAGAGCAGATCAAAGAGGATATTTAAAAAGTTAATTTGGTGGCATTAGTTACTCATACAACAATGATAATTATATGAGCGTTGTGCCAGCAGAACCAAAGGAGCTGAACTGGTGGTATCGTATAGAAGCCTGGCTTTGGAATACTGCACCTGAACTTTTTAAATTAAAAAAAAAAAAAAAAGTGCCTCCTGGAGTGGAGGCTGCATTATTCCTTGCACAGCAACTGACACTGCAAAATCAACGCACATTACTTTTGTGAGGGAAATTTCCATTAACATCCATAGTTTTACCAGTCTACAACCTCCAAGCTTTTCTTACTCTACTGAACTGCTTAAATGGGAACCTGTAATTCACAGTAAATGAAAAATTTAGGAATAAAAGATAAGGAAAGGCCATTTCCTTAATATTACAATATATAGTGAACAATCTTTCTAACCAGGTTGCCCTTTAATCAGACAAATGTTAAAGTCAGTATACATTCCTTTCTTTACACTGAAAGCACATACTAAATTTAATTCCAAATGCACTGCATAGGAAGTGGCTAACCAAGAGTTGTGTTAGATATAAACAGACCATTGTTAGTACTCTACAGCCTTCCTCATTAGTTCAAGCTCTTGACATTTGAGTGAGCACAGGTATCTGAGATAGACAGGCTCAGCTTATCAGCTGTATGGCATGAGTGTTTGGAAATCTTGGTGCAGCTGAATATTTGCCACACTTTTAACTTCTTGCATAGTAGCCATAGTAACTTCTTCCAAGGTGAGATGTTGGAGCATATGTATATAGGAGTTGGTATATGCCCAATTCAGGTATTGCTCCTAGCACTGAAGTGAAGAAAAATGTTAAACCGTGTTTTTCTGCTTCTACAGATTTTACAGCTGTTAGCACTTCCACAGGAGAAGTGCTGGAGGATAGGACAGAATTTTCTTCTTTAACATACGCAATAGCATTGCTTTGCTGGTTGGCACAATCCCCCTCACATATTCCAGTCTAGGAAAGGTTAGGCAGAGATGTTATGTTTTCTGCATTAATACCCAACTTTATGTGCTTGTTTCAGGTTCTTTTTAATGTATCTCATTAACAAGGATGAAACTGAGCATACTGGCCAGGTGAGTAGAAAATAAAACTTAATGGTTTTTTTTTCTTAAGATTATCTTTCAGCATATCTTCTCCGGCCTTGTAGTGGTGTACCACCAGGTGGAACTGGTGTACCACCAGGTGGAACTGATGTACCACCAAGGAGTGGAGATGATGCCACCCTCCCTGAGAGTCTTCTGCAAGTGAAAGAAAAGGAAGGGTTAAAAAAAACAGAGGGGGTGGGCTGCAGCAGTGTGCTATTCTGCCCAGCACTGAACTCTGTCAGAAGTCACCTACAGTAATCTTACTGGCATCTTGTCTCTAAAATGAAAGCCTGAAATATACCAGGTGTAGTTTATTCCCAAAAGATTAAGTAGTTAAGCTACTGTATTTATAGTCTAAATCCATATATACACACATATAGGTATATTGATCTGTGTATGTATGTTTAGTGTTGTTTAAATGTAAATAAATAAGAAAATAAATAGGATTTAATTCTGTCTTATCTCAAAGAAGAAGCTGTTTTGCAAAACACTTCAATGTTTTCCAAGCAAACTAAAACATGTTTTATATATACAGATTGTGTACAGGTTTGCTCTGATATCACTAGATTTACACTTACACAGTTTTTCTAATAGGGCTTAAATTTCAGCAGTACTGAGTCAAGAAAAGTGCAGAACAATACTTTTACAAATGTTCTTGAGTTACGATCTTTGAGTTTCAATGTCTTCACAGTTCTGCTCCATGGTAACGGGCACAGTACCTGGTTATTGTTAAAAGTTTATCTAGAGCAGTAACTGCAAGGTGTCTGCTAAAATAAATACTCTCTATCATTTGCAGGAGTCATTTGTGTGGAAGATGTACCAAGAAAGATGTTGGGATTTTTTCCCAGCAGGGGACTGCTTCCGGAAACAGTATGAGGATCAACTTGGCTAATATCACAAAAAGAAACTTGTTATGCACTGTTAAAAGATCCACTATACAAAAGAAAAATTCTTTTCTTTTCATGGTGTAATTTCACAGCTTGTGTTTGCTTTCAACGTCTTTAAACTTCAAGACATACATAAAATTTGACACTTTCATAGGCTTTTTGTACCTACCACTTACGAAACAGGTCTTTTGTTGGAATTTTCATTAGAAAAGAGAAAAGTATGCCAGATTAACTTAAACCTTCCAGTTCAAACATGGTCTGAAACTATAACAACTTTTTAACCACATCATTAACCTAGTGTTTGGCAGTACAGTTGAAAGGGCTAAAAGGTGTCTTAATTGCACAACATTTGACATTTAATAACTTGAACATCAGAGGCCACACCTCAGAAAAAATATTTTGACTAACTGCTGTCCACTTTTTCTCCCCAGTATTTGCTAGTGAATGTATTAAGATACAGCTTGAAAAGCTTTAAGCGGTTAAAAAGAAAACATTTTCAAACACTTTGTTGACCTTGAAACATTAAGTGCCTTAAAACCTCTGTAGACATAGCTATGCAAACTTTTTATTTATGTTAGTGTTCTAGATGAACAGATCCATTAACTGTATTGCTTTCCTGTCTTTCTGTATGAAATTGCACTTGAAGTTTGTTTATATACTACCTTCAATAACAGCTTATTAGATGCTGCTGTTAAAAGACATACACTGTATCAAAATGAATACAATTTAAATCTTAGGCCAAACTAAAACACTGCTCTATGGTCACCTGCAAGTAGAAGCTGCTAGGATTATGCATTTTTTTTTCTTCTAATAAAAAGTGCCCACTGCAATAAAGTATTAGAAACCAAATATTACCTTTGCTGTCGTCTTTCTCATTTTTCTACAATATGGAGATGCGGCGTGAGGATGGTGACTAAAAACACACGTATTCATTGTTCAGTCATAGCTTTATTTTAAGGACTACACAGAGCAAGTACAAGCTGAAATAACTGTTCTCTCAGTGGCTGTACCCTGCATCTTTAGCAAAGAAAATCCTAATTTCATCACAAATTTTAGACCTTTCTAAGAATATTAGCCGTAGACAATTTTCAGTTGCAGTTTTGGTTGCACAGAATTATAGGTGCCAGCAAAGAAAACGGAGCATTTGGCATACCAAATAAAGTGAAACAGATAAAGGAAATATCAAGGAGCTAAAGGAAGATTCAACTTTGTACTTAATGTTTGCTGTATTCAGTTATTCACATAAGCAAATTTGAGCTTCAGGAAATCATGCTGTCCAGCCAATCTTCAAGCTCTTCCTCAGTAACATTTTTAGATGTGCTTTGCTGTTGCTGTGACGCTGCACTCTTCTCTTCAGGCATGTCTAGTTTTAAAGGGTCTAAAAAGTGAAAAGAACAGACTTGAAAATCTGGAAACAATTCCGTACCAGCTCTTTGTCCCAGATCATTTTGCTTTTCAATGCACAACTGACTCTATTTGAACACAATCTATCTTTCTTGAAGAACAGCAAGTCATATTCCAAAAATAGTAGCAACAATAAAAAAAAAAAAAAAGAGGCAGCTTAATAAGCTCAACCAGAGCAGCGTGGCTTCCATCTGATTCAAGGGGGACAGGGCCTGTTCTACAGCAGAGAGATTAAAGTGATCCCCCTACTGTGATCTGTTCACAATCCTGTCCGATGCAGAGTTTACTTTAATGTAGGAGAGGAGTAGGAAGCCACAACAGCAGATCGCCCTGCGTGATGATTACAGCACGATGTGGTTCCATCTTCTGATGGCATTCTTTGCTTAAGGGACTTACACTGTGCTTTGGAGTGGAAAGCATGACACACCACTGAAATGAAAGAGCAGTTCAGGACTGTCTTCAATAACAAGGCTTGCTATGTTGCTTGTGGTGACATCTTACATGTTCAACCATCTTGGACTTAGTTTTTAAGATAGCAAGAAAATCATACACAAAAAATCAGAAAAGCTAAAAATTCTTTTACAGCGCTGTGGACTGGGGAGGAGCAGCAACCCGTCTCCATCAAAACTAACAAACAGTAGTATAACTTCTGGGACAGCAAACAAAAGGAAGCGTTTGCCAATTTTTCTGAAATACAAAGATTTTTGTATATGTTCTGTTTCCATACTAAACTTAATTTTGTAAAATCAATGCTAGTAAAGTTTGAAAATAGCATTTATAACAAGCCATCAGAAATAGCTGACAATTCTTCTGTATACTATTAGCACAGTGAACTGAGGACTGATAATATTACATAAAAACTTTATCTTCCTCTTACTAAAATTCTCTAGCAGTAATTTTTTTTTTATTTAAAATTTTGCTGAATCATAAGACCAATGCTGTTCTGCAGAAGAATTTCTCTTAATGCTTAAAATGAACTGACGATGGTGAAACTTTAGTTCAATGGGGAGTTAAAATTGAAAAGGAACAAATGGGTCAGAAGATAGCCCCAGATAAATGAAATGCAGTACGACAGAGATGATAACAGCAGTACTGTTGACTGGCTAATCAAGAGCTCAAAAACATCACCAAAACAGAGACCAATGGAAATTAAATAAGGGCACACTGGGGAGAAGAGAAATCTTACCATTTTCCTTACAATCCATTTTCAAATCTTTCTCAGTTGATATGTTGTAGGATAATGCACCTGACACGGGTCTGTTTTCTTTATCAATGGGAGCATCTAGATTTAGGAGACGATCTAGTTCTTCATCCAAGTGGTCAGTCTCTTGCTTTGATAGTGGATGGGCTCTATGAAATGGTTCTGCTGCACTTGCCCTAGGACCATTTTTACTTCCAGGCTCTGATGGAGCAACAGAATCACCAATGGGATGGGAGACCAACACCATTTCACTTTGAGCCGGAGACTGTCGGAACAGAAGCTCTCTCCTCTTACCATCTTCAGTAATTTTAGATTTCATCTGTGGGAGCTCTACAGGTGTTGATGCCTAAGAGTACAAGAAAGGACTTGAGTCTTTCTAAAGATTAATTCCATTTTTACTCTGTCTAATTTGAGAATATGAGATTGTATGCTAAATCAGCAAGTTCCATTGTTTCACAAATACTTCCTGGAGAGTTACTTTTCTTTAATTCTTCTGTAATGAAATCCCATCAATACTCTGAATTTTGGGATGACTGATGTCATTATTTGGCTAGAAACATTATCCCATGTTAGGCGTTCCCCCAAAATTCCAGTCTTGAAAGCAAACCATACTACAGGTCGCTGAAAATCATTTAGCAAAAGTTATAGTATATAGCTGTATATTTTGAAAAATGAAACCAAATTACAAACAAGAAATGGCAACTTATTATTTAACACAGCAGAACACAGATTCTGCTTTTATCAGAATGCCCTGGCATTAATAACACTGCAGCATATCTGATGACCACATCACCAGTCAGAATCACAAGACAAAGATTAAATGTCATAACCCACACACTTTATAACCCTGATAAAAGTTAAAGACCATGACTAGAACTCTTCAGAAGAAAATCGTATTTGAAAGTAACATTTACTTGCAGATTGCCTTAGACATCACATCTGCAGACATCTTTAAGCTCCCTTAAGAAAAGCAGAGCTGTGTCATCACAGAAGCACTTCACGCAACTCCAAACAGAAGTAAAATTTCTTCTGTAAGGGTCATGTTTCTTTTAGCTTGCTTGACCAGATGGATTTTTTTTAAGAATTTTGTTTTTATATTTGAGTCTCATTGGTTCTTTTGCCCTTACATTAATTTTTTTTTTCCACAGCCTAAAGAAACATTTTTTCCTAATATTCTGTTGTTTCTCACCAGAGCATAAATGACATTTTCTTCACCTGTTTGATTGACAGTTCTACCTGTTCTAACACAGATGTAAGTTTGATTCACGGAATAAACATGTATATTGATATTAGCTATGTAGAAGAGTAAATCACAATTAAAATGATTAACAGAAAAGAATGTGCAAGCACTTTCAAAATTTCGGTGCAAGCTTTTAACAGCTGCTAACAAGAGAAGCAAATACAAAACCAGTGCAATCATTCCGTGTCAAACACTCCAATATCTGCCTTCAAACTTAACGTGCTGCACATCGAAGCATTTTGTTTACAGCCAACAAAGCATAAAAAGTGCTGAGAGAGGGGTATCCTGCATTACATGCCATTTGACATGCTAGTCTCAATGTATTTACTTATAAAATACATTCTGCTTATGTTTGAAGACCAAGTTTAAAGTAATCATTCTTGCATACATTGTTTCACTTAAAATATTTGCGTTTTCTTGTGAAAATTCACAGCATTACCTGCACAAGTTCAGCAGCTATATTCAACCTCAGATGTAGAGGCAATTCCTGAAGGGCCTGGACCAAAGACTGGCAGTCAACAGAAAGTGCAGATAACTGAAACATAATTCAACACACAGTACACTTGTATTAAAAAAAAAAAAAAAATGAACTAATAATGACTTTCATTACATTCCCCTGTTCCACACATTCAAGGATTGTGAAGAACAGTCTAATGAAATACAGGAATTCATAGTTTTAAATTACACATGTACAAGTAGTTTGGCTAAATTACCCTATATACACCTACAATGCAAATAATCAAAGGTTTAAAAACAAGGTATAAATGGAATGTTACTTAGGCAATGCCTTGGAAATCCAAAGTAGGAAATAGTTCTGCAAGCTGACAAGGTCATAAGGGGCTTTTCCAACTGAAACATCTTTTAATCTGTGAAGCTTTCTATGCAGCGGGAATCACCATTCTTTAATGAGTTGCTACTATTTTCTAAGCAATCAAACCATGTAGCTTCTGTGTAGCCTAAACAACGTGGCCCTTTTTATACTTCCCTATCTTTTAAAATGTTGTTTTGATGCTTACAAAAGCAACAAACTACAGTTACATATACTTCTAAAATTATATTCAAGATACTCAAGAGAGAGACTCTACTGCTGCCTAGTCACTTAAAAGGTGTAACTGTCACTTGTTAACATGATGGGTATTGAAGTTTCCTTTTCTCTTGACCCCCTTTTTTGGGGGGGCTGTAAACTATTAAAAACAGATTTGCACAAAATGGACCAGCAATATTTGATGGTTTTACAGAACACCCTGGACTTTGGCAGACTTAAACAGATTTTGAGCTCACGGTACAGCAGAACATTCTGAGCACATTCACCATCAATGAAAAAGATAATTTGATATCCATCACATATTTTAAAATCTGACAACATAATGCATAAGTTCAGTCTGTACTCTCATTTTCATGGAAGCAGAGAAGGTGATTCTAAATCTAGCCTAAAGAGACAAAAATTTGTCCCTCTCAGTATGGTATAGACTGACAGAGACATTTAGAAGTCCAAATACTCATAAATTAGGAGAGAGTGTTTTGGGCCATATTGCAGGAGATTTGTCAAAGGAATTCACACTGCTCCCAAAAGCCAGTCAACAGGATGGCTTTTGACACCTGCACACACAGCAAGAATGAACATCAAAGACAGTGTGTTCCGATAGCATATTTACAAAACTAAAATAAATTAAAAAAAGAAACAATGTAGTTGGTTTAACAGTTTCTTGTATCCAAATTCTGGTTCTGGTATTCAGTAATGAGAGTAAAAGGACCAAACAACTTAAATATCTGATGGTTAGAATTTTGCTTCTTTACTAACAACTTTATTTTACAATGGATTAGTGATCACCATCAAAGATGATTCACTAGTACAAGTAACCTCAAAAAGTCTTCAATAAGCAATTCCTGTTGCTCCAGCAATGAACTACAACTTCAGAAAACCCAGTTCTTTTGACAGATACTGAAGATGAAATATGGCTTCTGCACATTTGCAAAGGACAGGGAAATTGTATGAATCCAGTAACATAAAAATTTGTAAAAAGTCAAGTATCATTGAATAACATTTAAGTGCATTTGTGTAGAGTTAAGTACACTTGCAAAAAGATTAACGTGAATGAACATTGCGAATGAAGGTGAAGATGGAGACAGGGAAGAGGAGGAAAGGCTGAGGTTGAAGGAAAAGAGGAATTTGGAGAAATAACATAATGGAAGATGGAATTCAATATCCAAGTAGAGATTTCACTAAAAGTGGGGTTTGAATAACAAACAAAGGGATCAAAGCAGTATTGAATAAATTATAAACATTTCATGGCATGTAGTTATTTGTTCAAGAAACTAAGTAGAGGCATACTTTGTTGCTGGAATTGCCATTTTTTTACTGAAAAATCCAAATAATTATTACCTGTTTGATTTTTAAATTGCAGGCCATGTTCTGAAACATTTTAATTGCATTTTATCAATACAATTTTATACAATAAGGCAAATCCAGATCTACTTTTTGTAACAATGAATGATAGCATTCTCAATAAACTGAAAATTCGTTATTGTTGATGTCGCTGTTACATTTCCATTCTACATTTGAAACTGATGCTTTGCCATTGCTTTCTACAAATAATAGGGAATGGGAAATATCTAGTCATTCTGCAACTATTTTTATGCCTTTTCTGATTTATTTTGTTCCATCGTAAATCACTCCAGTTTATAATTCTCTCATCTTGTACATAATGTACAGACAGGCAAAGTACTAGAAACAGGTGAGCTAAGAGGCAAAGACAAGGAATTTGGCAAAGTGGATCTAGGATGAAAATTAGACCCGGATGCAGCTTTCAGGGAAAAGAAAGATGGGCCAGAAACAAAAAGGAGATAGCAGGCTGAAGACCAGAGTCTATGTGAAAAATGAGATAATGCTACGAAACCATCTGGGCCAGGATTCTGGACTAAAATAAATAAGAAATCTAAGGAAGGGTAATGGTGACTAGTGCAGTAAACTATTTCAAACTGACTTAAGAACAGTGAAAGATGGGAAACAGTTTGAAACAATGAATTTGGATGGGGCAGGACGAATGACTACAGTTTGGCAGGGACAGAGGCAGAGGAATGTGCCCACCACAGCACACTTCACAATGAGTGAGAGCATGGGACTGGCTCCAGAACTGTGCAGTCTCATCACTGGTGGCCAGGAGAATATTTGTGAAATCCACTGGCAACGTGCAACTTCACTCTGCTCACAATGGCTTTAGCCAGTCAGAAATTAACTACTGTGTTCAAATCACCTGAATGCGATAATGAGAAGCCTATGAGGAAATAATGAAGAAATTAATATTCTGGATACTGACATCCTGCACACTAGGAGCGGGAGGAACTGATAAGAAAAAAAATACCCAGTCGTTGAAAGACTGTATCCCACTGAACAAACATATGATGGTTTAAACAAATGCTGCACTTGGCTTTATTTCCTCATTTTAATTTGACATTGCAACTTCTATGTACCTTTAAATATCACTTCCCAGGGAATAATTATTGTCAGTATTTTAGGAAACAAATAGCAAACTTTTAAAATTTGAATACATATGTATGTTTCAAGAAACACTCAAGCACAGTTTAGCAGCAATTTTAAGAAAAGCTTGGAAGACAAAAGCATTTATCTTGCCATAATTTAGGTGATTTACGTGAGGAAGACAGCTGCAGAGTTTAAGACACTTTCCAGTATCCTGATATAGAAAACAGCAGACTCCTATTGCTCTGCCCCTTTTTATTCCAGCGTAAAGAATCCACATACAAATAATCTAAGACGTAGTTGACCCCATAGTAATTTTTGGGGTGAAGTTTTAAGCAGAGGATATGAACTGTCAATTTGAAAGAACTAGAACAAGCTTCATAGTCAAATATATGAATACAATCATATAGAGTTTTTTATAGTCATTTTACTTAACTATTTTCTCTTGAATACAGCTGAAAAAGGAAGGCTAACTTGATATGTCAGTAAAGCAAAGTTACAGTCCCTTATTTTCCCTTCACTGGATGGATTTGCTTGGTTTTTTCTTCCAACATTACTTAAAAACCTAGCCTGCTACTTTGATTAGTCTTCAACAGAAAAAAAAGGACAAGACCCAAGAGCCTCCAGCATCAGAGACAAATTAATAAAAATATACAGAATAAAGAGTGCTATTATTGTCAAACTCATTTGAATGTTAATTCTGTTACCTGCTTATGGCATATGCTTTCTCTATCCCATTCTTTCTCGTCAGCAAATCGGAACTGTGTAAAGGAATCTCCTACAGAAAAGAAATAAAAAAATTATGTACTCTTCAAAAAAATAACAAGCTCTCTCCAAAGTTCCCAACCCTAGAGAAGTAAATTCAATCAATAAACGTCACGTCTTCAACAAATTTGCATTTAATTTTAATGCTGCTTGCATTCACAATATTAAACTTCTTTAAGCCAAAGTTCTATAGAAAGATCTTGTAATCTCTTATTTGCAAAACAGTACTGAAAAAGGCGCAACAAATTCAAGACTGAATGAGGAGGTGCTAGGTGCCATGTCAACAAGCAAGATTTTCATTGAAAAGTCCAATTTGGACAACATACTAGGAATACATACAGTATTCACAGAGTGCATTTTTTATGAACAGCTTTGAATGTGTGGCAGATAGACCTTCTCTTATCAACATGCAAATCTCTCTTATAATGCATTATAAATGTCCTAAAAATAAGTTTGTACAGGCCAAGTAAAGACTTCTTGTTGTCTGGTAGCTAAATTCTCCAGACTCTCTCTTCCTTGAACTAGTCCCTACTCTAAGCATGTCATCAAAAAAAAGACACTGAAGCCTGAACTCCAATTCATATGCATAAGGGACTGAATTTAAAAAATCCTTAAATAGGGCTAATTAAGCTACATATGTAACCTTAGTTATAGGATCTTCTAACGTCATACCACATTCCTCCAAGACAGAAGGAACTTCCTCTTACTATAGGGGGGCTTAGGTTATTATTTTGTTTTAGATGCAATATTTCTATTGCAGTACCATGCTGGGTTGTGAAAGACAGCCCTATAAATTTATTCACTGAAAAAACACACAAAAATTCCACGACTAAAAAAATTAGTAAGGTCTGTCACGGAGGAAACATGAAAGATTACGGTTGCAAGATGATGACCAAAGGTCTTGAGTAACAGAAAGCAAAGATGTTGCTGATGCAGAGTATGAGACACATGCCTTCTTAGACCATGCAGTTTGAGAACAAACAGCTGTTTCAGGAGTTCTGTTGGAAAAAAAACCCAACACCCTGTTGAATTATTGTGTGAAGGAGACAAAATTTGATCCCAAAAATTGCAGATCACCTATAAATCACCAGAATTTAGTCCAGAGTTGAGATGCAACAGCTTATTCTTTCCCAACCTCTAATAGAGAATGAATGTGCTAGAGGAAGTTTTCAATGGCACTACCAACAACTGAGCATCTAACTTCCATTTGGCTCTCAATACCCAAACTGGCATTCATACCTTTGACAATTCCTGAATCATGCCCTTAATCCTGCATATAAAATCCAAACCTATAATGTGCTGTTCCCAAAATTGGCTTCTTTTCCATTGTCTGCCTCTCCCAAAATGTAGGGGAGTTCAGCCTTTCAGCAATTTTACTCAATAGTGCAACCATCAGCCAGCTTCTGTTTTGCAAACAGAATGAATAAGCAGCAAAATGGCATAGTAATTGACATATTTCTTGCCAAACAATAAAAAAGGGAGACCTAACCATCTCCCAGCTGGAATGTAAAATTTATTGGCCAGGGCTTTTTTTGTTATATCTGAAGCACATTTCTAATTCATTGCACTTCATGTATGCTCATTGGGTATGCAATGTACTGATATACTAATCACAGTGCGTACCTGGCATGTCCATCATCGTCATCTTCAGAACCATTCTAGCAAGAAAGTGACCTCCTCAGCTGAGTATTTATACACATATTTATGAATGTTACCATGTCCAACCTGAATTTGCATCTCCCTGTTTTCATTAGCCTGTTTAGGAGCCTGATTGACAGAGTCCCTTGGGAGGCAGCCCTGAAGGGCAAAGGCATCCAGGAAGGCTGGACATTCTTCAAGAAGGAAGTCTTAAAGGCACAGAAGCAGGCTGTCCCCACGTGCTGAAAGACGAGCCGGCGGGGAAGAAGTCCGGCCTGGCTGAACAGAGAGCTTTGGCTGGAACTCAAGAAAAAAAGGAGAGTTTATGACCTTTGTAAGAAAGGGCAGGCAACTCAGGAGGACTACAAGGATGTCATGAGGTTATGCACGAAGAAAATCAGAAGGAACAAAGCCCAGCTAGAATTTAATCTGGCTACTGCAGTAAAAGACAACAAAAAATGTTTCTATAAATACATTAGCAACAAAAGAAGGGCTAAGGAGGACCTCCATCCTTTATTGGATGCGGGGGGAAACATAGTGACCAAGGACGAGGAAAAGGCTGAGGTACTTAATGCCTTCTTTGCCTTAGTCTTTAATAGTCAGACCAGTTGTTCTCGGGGTACCCAGCCCCCTGAGCTGGAAGGCAGTGACGGGGAGCAGAAGGAAGCCCCCATAATCCAAGGGGAAATGGTTAGCGACCTGCTACGCTCCGTAGACACACACAAGTCTATGGGGCTGGGTGGGATCCACCCAAGGGTACTGAGGGAGCTGGAAGAAGTGCTCACCAAGCCACCTTCAATCATTTATCAGCAGTCTTGGATAACTGGGGACATCCCATTCGACTGGAGGTTAGCAAATGTGACACCCATCTACAAGAAGGG